CAGCGAACACTTCGGGGGCAAGGGAGATCTAAAGGAAGGAGGTGTTGTATATGCAAATTCGAATGTTAATTTTGAAAAGTGATTATTCATAAATAAATGGTAGACGAAGATAATATTTTTTGGGGTAATTTGTCTATGTAAATAATCTTAAATTGAACATAATATTTTTCTATAAATTTTATATATATATTCAAATATGCAAATTTTATATATTTAATTCTTCGAAAATTGTTTAATTTTTTTATATATATATATATACATTGTTAATTCAAAAAAGTTCAGTTTTGAATAATTTTGGATTCTGCGAAATTTATGTTATTATTTTTAACGAACGATATTTGGAAATAAAATTAATAAAACCAAAGGAAAGAGTTAATAAAGAAAAGGTAAACATACAATTTGATAAATTATAATTATTAAGCGAAATGACATATATATTTTAGGTACTCAAGGGTAAGTAATTAAACATCATTATTATTAGAATTAATCTTTTATTTAATTTTAGAAAGATTTAACAAACCTATAATTCTTAAATTGCTCTCCCAATACTGATTAAACACCCTGAGTAAGTTCGGAATTATAACAATTTGGACCGAAGTAAATCAGGGACCTTTAGATATTCACGTAGGAATTAAAAGGTAAAAACAGATTTATTTTATGGTATATAAATTATTATTACTTTTATTTATGATAGTAGTAATTTTATATGTATACAATTTTTTTAAATTATTTAAAATTTTATTAATTAAGTGGTTATTGAGTACTTTATATTGTATATTACACAGATTAATTTATTAAGTTTAGTTTTTGAATATATAGGTATAATTATAATTTTGTTATTAATTTTAAGTTTCTCGATAGGATTAATAATAGGTAGAAATACTTCGGTAATAAGATTGGAAAATAAAGATTTAGAAAGAATAAAGAACGCTATAAGAAAAGAAAGTAATATAAGTCAAATAAATAATGTAGGGACAATTAAATGTTACAGTTGTGGAAAGTTCGGACACATTTCGAGGCAATGTGATTTAACTGGACATTTAAATTGCACGAGATGTGGACGGAAAGGCCATTTAGTAACAAATTGTAGAAGTTTTGCAGATAATAGTTTAATATGTTTAAAATGTGGACTAAAAGGACATGTTCAGGAAACATGTAACAGATGACTATATAAAAGAGAGAATAAGTATATAAATTATAATAGTAATAGTATATCTGATTTTTATAAATTTAATTGTAAATTAGGAATAAATGATAATAATATAAATGATTTAGAATATTTGAATAAATATAAGATAAATGATAAAAAAAATTTCGAAACAGAAAACATATGCAAGATGGAGTTGGAAAATATTATAAGGAAAAATAGATGTCCTAGGATTAAAATAAATATAGGTGAAATGGAAATTAGCTTTTTATTAGATACAGGAGCCGAAATTAGTTTAATGAGTGTAAAAGAATTTAATAAATATTTTTCAAAAGATAGATTCATCACAAAGAAAATAAAGGTGAGACAGATAGATGGGAGCATGATTAAAATTCTTGGTTTTTATATAATAAAATTGATAGATATAAAGAAGGAAATAAAGTTATGGATAACGACAATAAATACGGAACCAATTTTAGGTTGGAATGACATTAAGAAGATAGGACCGGATTATAAGTGGTGGTCTTTATTCGAAAATATACAAGAGAACAACAAAACAACTAAAGAGATAATAAGAAGTGAGGTTAAAGAGAAGACTGAGTTACCTTGTTTAAGAGTCAATCAAGAGATAGTTCTCGATGAACTTAAAAATCGAACACCAGAATTTTTGATTAAATATAGAAGCAACTTAGAAGAAATTAAGAAAACAAGAGATATAAAGACTATAGAGGTAAATTCAGTCGAAATTAAACAAGAAATTAATAATATGATAGACCAGAATGTTGTTGAAGATATTTTTGACAAAGAAATAAAGATTATTTTGAATAGGTATAAGGAAGTCTTTAAAGAAGAATTAGGTACTCTGAAAAATTTTGAAGTAGACATACGATTAGAAGAAAATTATAGGCCTAAGTTTTGAGGCATAAGAAGATTACCGTTTTCTTGGATAGAAGAGATAGATAAAGAATTAGATAAATGGTTAAAAGACGGAATAATAAAACCAATAGTGCATAGTGAATGGGCAACACCTTTAGTGCCCATAAGAAAACCAGATAACAGTTTAAGATTGTGTATAGACTATAGAGTAACAGTTAATAAGTGCGTAATAAATGAAAAGTATCCACTACCTAGAATAGAACAACTGCTAGCGAATTTAAGAGGAGACACCCTGTTTTCAAAGATTGATTTTTCGAATGCGTATTTGCAAATTAAGGTGAGTGAAAAGACAAGTAAGATACTAACGATTACAACTCATAGAGGTTTGTTTGCATTCTGTCGATTACCTTTTGGTTTGAAAATATCAGCGCCAATATTTCAAAGAACGATGACGGCGTTATTTCAAGGAATAAAAGGAATAATGTATTATTTAGATGATGTTTTGATATCTGGTAGAACAGAAGAAGAACACAATTCGAGATTAGTTAAAGTGTTAAATATTATAGTAGAAAATGGTTTAAAAGCTAATTTGAAGAAGAGCGTTTTTGGAGTAAAAGAAATAAAGTATTTAGGACATGTTATAAAGGGAAATGAGATTACGCCAATTGGAAAGAATATAGATAAGATCATGAATATGAGAGCCCCGAATAATAAAGCGGAGGTACAAGCGTTTTTAGGAGCAACAAATTATTATCATCGGTTTGTTCAAAATTTTGCAGAAATTGCTACACCGTTGTATGATTTATTAAAGAAAAATAAAAAGTTTGAATGGGGAGAAGCACAGGAGAAAAGTTTCGAAAAGTTGAAAATAAAGATGGTAGAGAAGCCTATTTTAAGTTGTTTTAATGAGAAATTAAATATTATTTTAGCAGTAGATGCTTCTAATGAAGGTATAGGAGGAGTTTTGTTGCAGATGATAGATAATGTGGAGAAACCTGTTTTATTTTTATCGAGACGATTTAATAGCACTGAGAAAAATTACTCAACGATAGAAAGAGAGGCTCTAGCAGTAAAATTCGGGCTTACGAAATGTAAGGAATATCTGATAGGAAAAAGGTTTTTATTGTATACGGACCATAAACCGTTGGTAGATTTATTTAAAAAAGAGAATAAGGAACTTATGATTTCACCCCGGTTGCAAAAATGGCTAATTTTAGTTGGTAATTTCGATTTTGAAATAAAATTCAGAGAAGGTAAACAAAATTGCTTACCGGACATTTTATCAAGATTGTTTAATAAAGACATTGAAGACATAGAACCAGTAATCAATAGTTTAGAATATATAGAAGAAGAAGAAAATGTAAATTGTAATATTATAAGAGCGGTGAGAATAGATACAAGAGAAAAACCTATAACATGTGATATAGTAGATAAGATATCCCAAAAAGATGAAGAATTAATAAGAATTAAAGCTTGTTTAAAAGGAGATATAGAATGGAAAAATGAAGATAAAGCGTTTAAAAAAGTTAGAGTGAATTAAATATAGAAGACAATTGTTTATTGAGAGGATATAGATTAGTGATACCGAATAAATTAAGAAAGGAAACCTTAGATGTAATACATTCAGGTCATCAAGGCATAGAAAGAATGAAAAATAAAGCAAGAGAATATATGTGGTGGCCTAAGATGAATAAGGAAATAGAAGAGTTAACAAGGAGCTGTGAAACCTGTAACATGTGGGCTAATGTTCCAGCAAAGAATAAGGAAGATAAATGGCCAAAGACAGACATTCCATGCGAAAGAATACACGTAGATTTTTTAGAATATGAGAAGAAAAGATTTTTTATCATGGTAGATGCAGGTTCAAAATGGATAGATTGTCAGCAAGTTTCAGGTTTATCAACAAGAGTAGCTTTAGACAAGATAAAGGATTTTGTAGGCAAATATGGTTTAATGAAGACGATAGTATCAGATGGAGGTCCAGCGTTTAAAGGTAGAGCATTTGATAAATTTTGTGATAGGTGGAATATTAGACATTTATTATCACCACCTTATTACCCAAGAAGCAATGGACAAGCTGAACGAATGGTAGCTTTAGTAAAGAGTTGGTTGAAAAAGGCAAAATATGGAGAAGGGCAATGGTGGTTATCATTGTTAGCATACAACAGTACGGAAACAGCAAAAGGAAAGTCACCAGCGGAAATATTTTTAGGAAGAAAGACGAGATCAGAATTAGATTTTTTAAAGGAAAAAGTGATAAGGAGAGAACAAGCAGAGAGTGAAAGATTTCCAGTAGGAAGTTTGGCGTGGGTATTGTTGTTTGATGGGCCTATTAAATGGGGGAAGGGAGTAATAAGCAAAAATATAGGAAAGAAAAAAGTAGAAGTAAAGATTGAAGGACAAGAAGGAACCTTTACAAGGCACCTGAAGCAAGTAAGGTGTAGAAGCTTAAGGCCTTAGAGAGAAATGAGAAATATACGAAGATTTAGAAAGGAATAAATTGATGATAGACATAGTAGGAGAATCATAATTTAGAAAGGAATAAATTGATGATAGACATAGTAGGAGAATCATAATTTAGAAAGGAATAAATTGATGATAGACATAGTAGGAGAATCATAATTTAGAAAGGAATAAATTGATGATAGACATAGTAGGAGAATCATAATTTGGAAAGGAATAACGTGATGATAGACGTAGTAGGAGAATCATACGTTGTAGGAAATAAAAGGGATGTTAGACTTAATTAGGAGAGTTATATTTTATAAAGAGTTAGAGAAGAAAGTCGAAGAATATATATATATATGTGTATAAAGTATTTGATTTAGATGGCCTCCTATGTTAGAGTGGGTAACAAAATAATGAAGATAGAGATCCGAGAGGTTGACGGTTCAGAAGAGTCCAACAGATGGGTAGAAGCCGCTAGGAACGAAGCAAAACAAAGATATGGAGATTGGCTACAAGAGACGCCAACGAGAGGGGTTCACAGGATAGCACCATATAACACAAGAAGGAGAGTGGAGTGTTGGGCTTGTGGGGGAGGACACAAGTTACGATATTGTCCCAGTGTAGAGTTGACAGCGAACAATAAGACGAATTTACCGATGCGAAATATGGTTGAATCAGCGAACACTTCGGGGGCAAGGGAGATCTAAAGGAAGGAGGTGTTGTATATGCAAATTCGAATGTTAATTTTGAAAAGTGATTATTCATAAATAAATGGTAGACGAAGATAATATTTTTGGGGTAATTTGTCTATGTAAATAATCTTAAATTGAACATAATATTTTTCTATAAATTTTATATATATATTCAAATATGCAAATTTTATATATTTAATTCTTCGAAAATTGTTTAATTTTTTTATATATATATATATACATTGTTAATTCAAAAAAGTTCAGTTTTGAATAATTTTGGATTCTGCGAAATTTATGTTATTATTTTTAACGAACGATATTTGGAAATAAAATTAATAAAACCAAAGGAAAGAGTTAATAAAGAAAAGGTAAACATACAATTTGATAAATTATAATTATTAAGCGAAATGACATATATATTTTAGGTACTCAAGGGTAAGTAATTAAACATCATTATTATTAGAATTAATCTTTTATTTAATTTTAGAAAGATTTAACAAACCTATAATTCTTAAATTGCTCTCCCAATACTGATTAAACACCCTGAGTAAGTTCGGAATTATAACAAAAACGTAAGTATATATGAGGTATATTATACCAGCTGTCTTGCTCTTTTTCTATAGAATACTTAAATATCAATTGTAGCTACTGTATAAGTCGCATATATAACTTAGAAGATTTCTATACAATATGACTATAGAAACATAAACAGTAGTAGCATAAAATTAAATTATAGCAGAATAGCGATGTTTGACATAACTGTTTCTAACATGTCATATTCAATGTGCCTTTACTTTTTTTCACTTAGTACAAAAGTTACTTTATAAATAGTATCATCTTTTATTATTATTACAATTTATATGTTAGGTGATAGATGGGTGGGGGTAAGCTTTCATTGATAAAAAAATTCTAAGACAGACAACAATATTCAATATTTTATTGGGTTACAAAACTAATACCAATACAAACCAAAATATAAAACTAATACCACTTAAGCCAATCTCAATAACTGATAAATTCATCTAAAAGTAAAGATATATACATGTTTAAAAGCAATGTCAATATTATTTACAATTATACGTCATTACCTCTTGATAATATATTTTATTAACCCATTCAAATAAATAAACCAATAAAATTCTAAGACAGACAACAATATTCAATATTTTATTGGGTTACAAAACTAATACCAATACAAACCAAAATATAAAACTAATACCACTTAAGCCAATCTCAATAACTGATAAATTCATCTAAAAGTAAAGATTCAAATAAATAAACCAATAAAATTCTAAGACAGACAACAATATTCAATATTTTATTGGGTTACAAAACTAATACCAATACAAACCAAAATATAAAACTAATACCACTTAAGCCAATCTCAATAACTGATAAATTCATCTAAAAGTAAAGATATATACATGTTTAAAAGCAATGTCAATATTATTTACAATTATACGTCATTACCTCTTGATAATATATTTTATTAACCCATTCAAATAAATAAACCAATAAAATTCTAAGACAGACAACAATATTCAATATTTTATTGGGTTACAAAACTAATACCAATACAAACCAAAATATAAAACTAATACCACTTAAGCCAATCTCAATAACTGATAAATTCATCTAAAAGTAAGGATATATACATGTTTAAAAGCAATGTCAATATTATTTACAATTATACGTCAATACTATTTTTTAATTGTAATAATAATAAAAGTATAAAATAAAATTTACTGATGATGTGGTGTCGTTTTTTTGATGTTTTCCTTGCTCGTAACTTGCCGTAAATAACTGGAAATAAGATGTGTAAATTGAAAGTATAAAATAAAATTTACTGATGATGATGATGGTTGATGATTTTGCTCGATGTGGTGTCTGTTAAAAAATATAATTATTTACTGATGATGATTGAAGGTTTTGCTCGATGTGATGTCTGTTAAAAAAAATATCAATTATTGTAATTATTATATTATTATATGTTTTGTAATTGTGTTTTGTATTGAAATTCTTTTTTTGAAAATGGCGGTTCGATTTGGTTTATGAATGCGTGTTTGATATGTTTAAGCTATGATAATTTTTATTGAATATATATATTATAGATTTGAATTCCTTAGCTCTTGTAGGATTATCTGCAAACATTTTTTTCATACTAATGTTCCTTCCTGCCTATTGCCTCAAAATACTTCTGAAATGCTTTCCATGATTTATAGGAGATTAAATCCATTTTGCTAATATGATCTAAATTGGCTTAAAATTGCTATGATAGATAGATAGATAAATTATAGATATATAGAAAGAACAATATATTTGACATCAATTAAGACAAAATATTTACATTTCAACTTAGAAATATAAGGCTATTTAAAATAAAATATAATCTTATAGATGGCGCTAGATATTATGGAGATTAAAACTACAATTTAACATAACTTAAATACTTCCGAATTTGTTAATATTAATTAAATATTATTAAGAATCACTCCCTATTTAAGTAGGACAAACGTCCAATAATTAATAAAGAAGTTGAATATTACATAATATATTAACAAAATTATAATTGACTATTATCAGGTAAAATAATTGACTATATAATGTCACAGTTATGACAAGCCTTTTATTATATAAGATTTATTGTATATGTATCGACAGATCTTTTGGATTTGGTTCAATATATTATGATAGTTTTATAAGTATTATCAACAACTCACTCTACTATTAATTCTTTCTATTTACAATATTTATTATCCCTTCATTAATTTATCGATTATTCATATAAAAGTTAAAATAAATTAAAACGCATCATATTAGGGGTTATTTGTTATATTAAAATTTTTAGCTTATGTTATGATTGAAATTGAATTTAGAAATTCAAAAATTTTGTTTATATTCACATCTGACCTATTTAAAATAAATATTTAAGGTGATATTTTGAAACACAGTTTAATTTTCTAACATAAATATTAATACTAAATAATTAACCTCAAAGGATATATTATAAATCGTCGACTTCGCTAAATTTCTAACATAAAATCTAAATCTTCTATAGATCCAATTAGTGTTGTTAAACGGCTAAGTCGACTCGACTTAGCCTAAAATCTAGTCAAGTTTTGAGTCGCAAAACTCATTTCAATTTGAGCGGCTCAATGAGCCGCATGAGTTGACTCGATGAGTCGGCTTCAGAGTCGGCTCGATTTTTTCGTTTAAATTTACCAGAATGTATATCATATTTAAAAATTATACCGGGCCCGAAGCCGAACCAACATTATATAAAAATATTAGTGTTGTTAAACGTCTCGATTTGAGCCGATTTTTAAAAACGGCTAACTCAACATTATAGCGAGGAAAATATTACCTAAGCGTCGAGATTTCCCTAAAAGATGTTCAATCCTATGTGCAAGTGCCATCTATGAGCAAAATCTTTAGGCTTGCATAATATTTTTCTGGATAAAATATTGAGTTAGATGTTTTTAAAAAATCGGCTCAAATTGAGCCGTTTAACAACACTAGAAAATATACCTGGGCCAGGTGGTGTTTTACAGATCCCTAATAGGAATACAATTTTTTATGCTACTCTATACTTTGTAAATGGTTCCAGATTCATCGTCTAAAAATGGATATAAATATAAATACAACTGTGATGCAAAATATCCCCATTGGAGCTTATTTTTAAAAATGGTCAACTAAATATTTTCCAAAACAATTACCTAGCTTGAGATTTCTAGTTATGAGCAAAATCTTCAGGCTTGCATAATATTTTTGATGGATAAAATACTGAGTTAACCATATTTATAATTACAAAATACATCTTTTAAAAACGTACATACCGATACATCAACTATTGAATATCAATACGGAAACTGACTTAAAAAATTTATTGAGCTGATATCGCATCTATATACAAATATGTATAATTAAGATAAATGATTGTTAGATTTTAATACTCTGAGCCCATAATTTGGTTGTAAATTTTACGACTAAGCAAATTAACACTATACATAAGTCATTTTGAATTTTAAAATATTAATATTCTCGAACCATAGTGGTTAAATTTTTTAAATATTTTATCGTGGAATAAATAATAATAGCAGGCGGATTCAAAATAAATTTTTTCCGACTCTGAAGCCGACTCATCGAGCCGACTCTGAAGCCGACTCTGAAGCCGACTCATCGAGTCGACTCATGCGGCTCATTGAGCCGCTCAATTTGAAATGAGTTTTGCGACTTCGACTTGAGTTCAGAGTCGTAAAAACTCGACTATTTAACAACACTAGATCCGATATCTGGTAATTCTCTTCGTACAACTACGGTTAGTCCTTTAATATCATATTCTACCGTCATATTGCTGGTAGAAGCTATAGTTGTAATGGTTGGAATTCTTACACCTTTATTTCAAACGGAATTAAGTTATAAACTATGTATTTACCTTTCACATATTTTGGTGGTAGATAAAAAAGCATTTCAAAATTACACACAGATTCTGTATTAGGCTTTCTGACGGAAAAAAATTGTACATCCGTAGGAAACTCTTAATATATAATACATAAATATTAAATATTATATAATGATATAATATTAAATTATGAAGCACTAGCTTCTGATTCAAGTGATTATATCTATATCATTTTATGTTAATCAAATAAAATAAAATATTTTATTTAATTTTACTGTGTTTGAATAATATAGGTATGGATTGGGTTATTTCTTCATTTAAATATATATTATCTATTCCACCGGACATTAACAATCTTGTAATAGTTTACGGCCAACAATGGGAACACCTATTATTTCAAATATGTATAATAACTTTTTTGTTCATAAACTAGTCTAATGTAGTACTCTTAGCTATTGGTCCCTGAAGTTCTCTAGTAAAACTTGCATATTTTATTTTACTTTACTAAAATCATATCCTTAAATTTCTTACATCCTCAATAAGTTACAATTAATAAATTCTAAATTCTTTAAATAAAATATTCATAATAAAATTTATTTAATCCTTTAAAAACTCAGTTAACGAGTCTAATATTATGTTGGGGTGGGAAAAATAAATTGATTAAGTAAAGTTTATTTTATTTTACATCTCTGTTAAATTATTTTTTAATATAAATGAAATTAATTTCATTTTTATGAATATATCAATGAAAATATTTATCTTTCTTACCAAAGATGAAACCCAGTCCATAGTTGGTCGCAAAAGTCAACAAAATAATAAGGCCCTATAAAAATTGTTATTGGTAGTCTGCATCTAATAAATATAAATTGTTACTAGGAAACTTGAGCGCATTATATAATTGAAATTTAGTGAACAAAAAAAGAAGTTGTAACTAATATTAATTTATTCTTTATAATTCACACCTTTCTAAAATTTTGTTATAATTGGAATTTTTCCATCCTTATAAGTTATATAGAAATTTGATATATTTATGTAAACATCTATATCTAAATTTTAACATTGAAAGTTACATTCGATAAATTCTGCCTTGACAATTTGGTACAAGGTTATATTGAATCGAATTTACGTTTTAATGTAATATGATATTTTCCTGTAGTGTTATTTTATTTTATTAACTTTAAATTTTGGTAGAGAAATCAAGGTTAAATTTTCAACAATTATATAATATAATATAGTAAAAACATATTTTAATTTCATTGATGGAAATTTTAATTTGAATGGGATAAGTTAAAACGTTTAAAATTATACACTATTAGAAAATTACAAATATTGATTTATATATCTACGATCTCGAATACCTCAACCAAAGTTCAAAGAATTTCTAAGCTTGTATATAGTCTAAACTTTAACTTTGAGAATCTTACCGAAATCCTATGTTCGAATTATGGCCTGAGTCCCTGATATTGGGGTAAAAATTTTAAATAATCTAAGCTGGGCTCTTGTTTACACTTTTTTAAAGCAGCCAGACCTAATTCGGGCTTGATAATATATATTAATAAAATCAAAATAAGTTAATTTGAATTGGATTATTGTGATATAAAGGATAAAGCAATCAAGTTTAAACATCTTCAAATCACCAACACTAATAATAACTCACCTTTATTTTTCCTACCTTAACAAGTTTACTTATCACCCAATATATAAAAATACATTCTTTTTTCCTATCTAAATTACCTATTAACAAACCAAATCGTCTGCTTTTTTCCCTTTCTTTCTAACAAATATTAAATCGTCTGTTTGACTTGAACTTTTCTCAAAATTAATGTTAAAGGATAAACTAGGATAATATGGTGGTGCCAAAATGTTGAGTTTGTGTGTTAGCACAAAATTGTTTAAAATTTTCGCTAATGAAAGCTGGACAGCCATCAGAAACAATGACTTCGAGAATCACGAATTTTGCCCATAAATTTTGTAATTTTTTAATTACAATATTAGTAGTTAAACCATGTACTTCCTCATATTCAATCCATTTTGAATATGAGTCTACTACTAAAAAATATGATCTTTTATTTAAATCAAAAAATATCGACATGTATTCGTTCCCACGGTCGACTTGTTTTGGCCAAATATTACCTACTTCTTTATGTGGTTGGAAAAAGTTTTGCAAGGCACACATCTTTTTGTAATATATTCAATTTCCTCATTCATACCCGGCCACCATATATATTCCCTAGCCCATTGTTTTATTCTTTCAATGCCTTGATGACCGGCATGTAAAATTATTAACAACTTATTTCTTAATTTTTTAGGAATTACTGCTCGATTTATTCTAATAACACAATCATCCACTATAGATAATTCTGTTTGTATCCTTTTATAATTATTAAGATTATTCTTCCACTTTATAGTCCCTATTAAACATAATCTTACCTGTCTTAATTCCTTATACCCTATTATACTATGTTTCCTGAGTTCATCCCACGTAGTAGGACCCCCCTTTAATATGTGAAATAAATTACGGATTATTGTTTCATCTTCTTGCGAAGATTCT